GTCAGGAAAGAGTTAATGCGCTTTGGGACCCTGAAGTGTAACACCAGGGGCAGGTGTCACACCTCTAGGAGACCCTCAACAAATTGATAGCAAGCTGGGCAGAGGAAGCAGAGCATCAATACTTGTTATAGGGGGACAAAATGGCTAGACCTCAGGAACTGAATAAGAGTATGCCCTGTTGGAGTGTCACTTCGAAATGGTAGGCCTAGCAGAAGGTGATTACTTTTGTTTAGCTGCAAGAAGTAATTGCAGCTTACAGTAAATGTTCATTTGCTTTCTTGGTCTTCTGCAAAGTATGAGAGGGAAAGATGGATAAGGACTGAGGGGTAGGGAGACAGGAAAGGAGTAGGGAACTCTATTCTAGGTTTGAGCCCAGAGTGGATGGACAAGTTCACGTTTTGGGGGGGTTTATACTGAACTTTAGGTGCCCTAGGTGGAACTTTTACATAGTCTAACCAGAGTGGAAATATTCATTTTGCTGCCAGGTGCTAAAACAGAAGTGAAAACTGATAGGAAGAGGTCATCTTGGGGAGAAACTCAGTCTGAAATTTATCGTGTGTTTTTATTTTCAATAAAGCTTAAATCTAGGAAGTCTCTTGGATGCAAAGTCTGTGAGTTCTATTAAGGCTGAGGTATGCAAAGACCTCATTTGTTACCAGGAAACTATAGTACTGGTTGATGATAACATATTGAGCACTAGCTGAGGAAAAGGATGTAATAGCTAGAATGTAGTAGCTGAGAATAGCTACTCAGCTGCTCTGTCTCCTCAGAGGCAGGATGATCTGACAGACTCGCCATGTCTACATGAGCAGCTAACTGCGCAGTAGCCTGATACTACTGCACAGTAGCGTTGTGTGGCAACAACCATGATGTGATGCTACTGCGCAGTACTATTAGGCTACTGCGCAGTAGCATCACAAAAAGGATGTTTGCCTGAGCTACTGCGCAGTAACTCAGTATACAATTGTATAAACAAGCACAGTAACTGCTGCACAGGCATTGTCTCACGTAGACATGGCCACTGGTTACTGCACTGGGAGCTAGAAGACCTACATGCTTCTCCTGAGCCTCTGACTCATATTTCAAGGGCAATTCACTTAACTTTTCAATGCTGCAGTTTTCCGATCTTTAATTGGAATAACAATAATACTACTTCCCTCCATTTAACCTCTGTAAGATCTCTGGCTGAAAAGCACTAGGTAAGAGCCAAGTATCATTAACCTTCCATTTAAAACCAAAGTGCCTAAAACATTATATTGGCTTCCTTCTCATCCTGCTGGCTGCGTAAGAGTCTGTAGATATGAATTATTATTTATTTATTATTTATGAAATGGCTCTCTTCAGAGCTGGGCTAACATCTGATATAAAATCCCCATTGTTTTCTGTTTTCTGTCCAGTGTAAGCACAGAAGAAATTGTAATTTTCATAAACAATGATTTACAAGTAAGCAAGTCATTCATAAGACTGTATTCCACATTACCCATAATAGACAAAAAAAATAGGGTCCTTAATTAAAAAAAAAAAAGCACGTGCAAAATATATCTAGGACTTGTGCTTCCATGGAGTTTTTTAATCTTGTTGATCCTGAAAGCCAATTGAACAGCTGGGAGAAGTAGGTGCAGTAGCTTTGAAACTCTGTTTTTCTGTGCCCCTTCATGCAAACCTATACTTAATTTGAAAATAGCTATGTCAACTCTCTTAATATGCTGTTTAAAGCCCCTCAGACAAGGTTTCTGCAACTCATACTCAAGCAAGCGGTCCCACTAATAGTTAATAGCATTGCTAGATGTTTTCAATAAAACAGAGATGAGATAAAATATTAGATCATCTTCAAAAGAAGAAAGTCTGTTCTATAACTAGACTAAGTTTCAGTTTTGGAGAACCTTCAGGAGCTTCCTGTTTGCATGCCATTGCCAATATGTTAATAAATTTATATTTTATAAAGAGTACCTAGATCTGTTTCTTTTTAATCTATAATGAGGTTTAGAATTATTGGTTCTAAAAGAATATTTAATGGGATTTCAATGAGGCTTTAAAATACAACACTTTATGAATGTCTAATGTGTCTTTACTGAAGAACTAGCTGGGCGAGAAGCTTCTCTACCATCTTGTTGTGAGTGTTACCTGCTATTTTACTAGATCCAGGTTAGGATGACACCTCAGGCTACGACTAACATTCAGCCTTGACACAAGAAAGGTACAGTATTTTATGAAGGAAGATTTTTTTGAGGTTTAAGAACTGAAATTATTAGAAAAGTGTGTGCACTGTAAGGGTAATGAGATTAGCTGAATGCAGGGTCCTGCAGAGTTAAAACTGCTCCAGATGCAAAGAAACTAGCAGCTCCTCGTAAACTTCAGGGTACAGTTCATTTGCACTGGATTCTTACATGTGCTATATATTTTCCTTACAACCAAAAATAAATCATTGCAACTTCATTGATAGAATCCAAGGGGGATTGTGTCACTTCCCGCTTCAAAGTAAGGACCAATATAAAAATAATTTTCTTGTTATGATTCTTAAGTGTTTACATATTTCAACTATGAGGTTGGCAAATAGAAACCATACATTGAACCAAATGCATAAAATGAAAACTCCTGCATGAGTCTCAGGAATGAACTCAAAGGAGATTTGTTCATAACTTTATGACATTGATATTTACTTGCAAATATCTTCATAATGTTAGCAGCTAAAAATGTACACGTGCAGCTGAGTGTACCACAAGCCTCCACTGGGGCTAATATGGTGCAGCTTGGGCCCAAACCAAATCCGCTGCAGCGAGAAGAAATACACTTGTTTTCAGCAAGGGCTGGCTCAGAGTCATTAGTGGCTAGTTCCCTCTCCCTGTTCCTTCTGTCCTAGGTTCAATCATATCTTTCCTAATATATGCTTCTCCTTCCACTAGTTATGTTCACCATTTCCATCTATGTTTCCTTATGAACATTGGTCTGAATTCATATTAGAGCTTCCTTCTTTTTGACACCTGCAAAGGGGGAGAGAGAGAGAGAGAGAGAATACCCTCTCTCACAGCAGTGAAAGGAAAAAGAAGCTTGGGAAGGGAGGAAAGTAGCTTAGATTTCAGCTGGGAGTTGAGAAAGCTATTTTCAGTTCTCTGCTTCACAAACTTCCTGAGGGACCAGTCACTTAGGGCTACATTCACCAAAGGACTTGAATATTTAACCCAGGGGTAGAATCCTCAGCCTTGAGTTAGGTACCCAAATTCCTATACATTACATACGGGTAATTATGTGCCTAGGAATGGGGTAGACAATGGCCGGCACACTGAGTGGAGAACTGCCTTAGCAAGCTAACAGGGTACATCAAAGGGAAGTGTGTCTGAAATATTAGCTCTCTCCTGAATTTAGACCTCCTCTGCAGCACTGAGTTATGTGCTGATGGGAGATTGGGACTAGCAGCCTGAAACCCTTTCCTGGATTTAAGCACTTAAGTCTTCCCTTTGGGATGGAAATTTTCCTCTTTTAAAACCTGGCTATTGGAGGAAGAGATAGTGATGCTAAGCGGAGCCGAAGAGGTGGAGTGAGACCTTGATTCCATCCCTGCTTTTGAACAGAATCAAGGCCTCAAGGTCCCTTTCCTCATTTTTCTCCAATGTGTTTAATGCAAAAAAAATAATAAAAAAATCTTGGGACCAGAAACTAGAATCCTGGTCTCTCCCCTCCTAGTTGACTGCCTTCCTCCTTGGTCTGTAGTCACGTGCTCCATCCATTTCTCAGTAATATGAGGTGAATAACACTGCTCCAGCTTACACCCTTTCACTTGTTCATTCTTGCAGCAGTAGTGATGCAGTGGCACTGGATTTCATATCTGTACCACACACAGAACGTGGAAAAGTGAGAATGAAAGAGAAGTGGTGAGGAGGCAGCCTTTTCTGTGGGGTTCGTGGCAGCAGAACTGATCTGGAAAAAGAAACTGGTCTTCCTGGAAGAGAGAGCGAGTAGTGATGGATTAGATAGATTAGTTCCTATAGCTAGAAACTATCATGAGGCTACCAATTATGTACATGTTGCTGAAAGAATGAATCCTCACTCTTTCCAGCACTGTGCGCCCTGAATAGTGCAAAGAAGTCTCTACCAGTGAAGCTTTAGGAGAAATCACCCAGAGTAAAGGCCCTGAGATGGGAGGCAGAGAGGATGTAAAAGAAGGATGAGGTGGGGAAAAAACCAGCAAAGGAGGAAAAAAGAAAATGCACAGAAAGGGAGAGAAAACAGAACAAGCAAGCCACCTGGCATGCCGCCCCCCACCTCCCATGGAAAGAGAGTGGGGACTGGAAACGATGGGGCAGCGGGGCTGAGAGGGTGAAGCTTGGTGGCAGTAGGCAGGCTGACCCTGCAGCCGTGCAGGAATCGTGGACTATGCAGGAACCTGGGCATCCTCCCCCCGCTCCTAGCGGAGAACCACTCTCATGCCTGTCTGCTTTGTCCAAAGAGAATTGCAGTTGCAAAGCAGACCACTTCCTGAGGTCACCAGAGCTGTTAACCTGATTTCTACGTGATTTTTATTTCCTAAGGTAGCACGACAGCAATCTGCTTGCCACGAGGGTCCAGGATCTCAGGCCCCTGCTACCTGTGACACGTCAGCCCGGATGAACCAGTTAATCCTGGCTGACCTGGTGACCGGGTTTAGGCAAGGAAGGGCGAACAGCTTTGTGGCTGGCTCCTTGGCGCCCGCGTGGCTGGCGGCCGCCCGGGACCGCCCTGCGCCGGCAGCAAGGTGGGACGAGATGTGAGGCACACCCCGCGCGTGGCACGGATCCCATCCCACGTCCAGCAGGGGCCTTTTCTCGGAGCAAGGGGTGGGCTGGCACAGGGCTGGAGCAGCTTCCCCACGCCAGGCGCTCCCCAGAGCCGAGCACAAGGGAGCCCCCGCGGCCCCGGAGCCGGCGACAAGCCCGGCCCCCCGACGGCGGGGGCGGGCCACGAGCCTGCCGAGCCCCTGATTTGCTCGCCCGCCGCTTTAAATGATTTGGAGGCGGCGGCGGGCGGCGGCGCGGAGCACATGGAGCCGGGGCTGGGGGGCAGCTGAGAGCCGGCGGCGGCGGCCCTGCCGGGCGAGATGAGCCCGCGAGCCTGGCTCCTGTGCGCCTCCTGCACGCTGGCCGCCTGGGCGAGCGCCGCGCTGCAGCCCGGCATGTGAGTGCGGGGCGCCCGCGGGGAAGGTCCTTGCACGACGGGGGAGGTGATGCCCGAGGAAGGGGGTTTCCAGCCCGGCTCCCTGCTTGCCCGCGCTGGCCAGGCGGAGGGGAGGAGGGAGCCCTGTGCCCGCCGGAGCCGGCTTCAGGCTCGGGACCGGCCCGGGGGGCGCAGCCTGCGCGGGTTCAGCAGCCCTCTCCGCTTGCGGGCCCGGGGACGAGAGCATTGTTCTCGACTGCGATGCTCATCCAGCCAGGAGGAGCCGAGGGCTGGGACCGGAGGGAGGGGAGCCCCGGAGGCACCAGGCGACACGGCAGACAAAGGGGCCGCCAGCGGCGCTCCTGGGTCCCCGGACACGCAGGTGAGTGGGAAGGTTTTAGAGCCAGGATGAAGGCGGGTGCGTGGGAAAGCAAGTCTAGCAGCACTTGGTACTTCTAGGCGAGGGGCGCCGGCACCCGGGGTTCACAGCTAGACATCGGGGTTAGAAACCCTGGCTGGGTTTGTCTGGGTCAGCACCAATTCGTGGAAAGGTTTCTTGGCTTTTTTGTAGCCTTAATGTTACAGGGAAATGGAGGGGCCCTTGTGTAAACAGTCTGACACTTTTCCCAAATATTAGTATTAGACCATAATGGCATGAACGGCGCCTCCCACTTTGCTCTTGCTCTCTCTCTCTCTTTTTAAATTTACAGCTCTGTTTCCCAGCTTGTTCTACCTTTCTATAGCCTGTTTCTCCTCACATTGTTCACCACCTGTGTTGCACACTCTGCATCTCCAGGTAGACAACTGCCTCTTGTCACTGGTCTGTGGATTCCCCATGCAGTCCTCTAGCAGTACAGCTTGGCAAACTCTTTTTTATTTTAAAGAAAAATCTTCTATGTGACTTCTGGAGTTTAAAATAATGACTTGGATATAGGGACATGCCCTTGACTCACTGCTACTTAACTTCATGTTTGATTGAAGTAGTTTTACATTAATTATGATTTTACAGTTCTGAAGGTTAAGATATGGATTGGTGAATGTTATTTAGGAATGACTCTCATGTAAAAATAACTTTGTTTGCTTTTTCAGTTTTCCTTTTTAAGAAGGTCTCTATGGAAAGACTAGAGGAAAGATGCTGTTTGAAAGGATAGCAGTGTAGTGACGATTTCATACTGTATTCAAGCCATAAGGACAGGGAGTGTTAACAGAGAGTGGCCTTGAATGGACAAAACACCTGTAAGCAAAGCCTTGGGTGTTTCTTTCAGGTAGTATCTTTCTGATGGAGAGTGAGTCGCTACTACAATTCTGAATGATATTTTAAGGCAGAGCAAGTCAAAAGGAGAGGTTTCCCTTCTTCCGCAGTTATCCTGCACAGTTTCCTTGGTTTCATTTTAGGTGCCCCACAACAAAATTTTTCCTCTTTCAAAGCGGGATTGTGTTGATTTTTGGGTTGGGGTAGCTCCAGGCTTTGACTGGAAAACTGTGGGAGGGAGCAAATAATTTGGCTCTTTTGTCCCCATAGTCTTTCTCTATTGTGAAATGTCACGTCCGATGGACTTTTAACATAGGAAGTTATCAGTGGGATAAGGGGCTAAAATGCCCCAGTAAGAGTGTGTTATGCTGGCTGCTTTCTTTTCAGTTCTTTATTCCTGGTTGAAGTCTCGTGTGTCTGAGAAGGTACAGTGTGCTCTTCATATTTGGTAACTCAGAAACTTACTTCTTGCTAGAAAAGCAGTGATTCTGTGTTGACATGGGGCTTTTGATTCCAAGCCCCCAAGGAGAAGTTTTTGATGTAAAACAGATTTCAGGGTGTTTGGCTATTTCCAACAGTTGTTTCCAGACAATTAGTCCCTCATGGGTTCATATTAGACCTTTCAGTGCTTTTTCACAGGTATACTGTTTTCTTCTAAATCCTTGCTGCTTAGTTCATTTTTATGAGAAGCTACCTACATTTCCTGTTAAAGCTGTGGACCTTGTGACAATGAGCTTTGCAGTTTAAAAGTGGGCTATGTCTGAAGTGATGCTGTGGTGTGCAGCTACACCACAGCGAAGATTGGAACAGGAATGCCACGCTGAGAATAGTAAAGGGACCTGCATGAATAAGACCTAAGGGGAGAAGGTTTGATTTGAGTTCTTAAAAGTGGGATGAAGTTACTGTACTAGGGAAATATTTTGCAGAAACTTCTTAAAGTATAGATGTTCATGCACAGTTAGCTGCAAGGCAGAGCAGACGACAGGGACTCAGAACTGTCGCAGTAGTTGCATTGAGTGTTGCATCTTCATGCAGAACCTATTGTTAGTTTTCATTTAATAAGTACTTCCATCATTTCTTGAGAGCCTCTTCCCCTCTCTGCCTTCCCTAGTAATAAATGCTTAAACATTGAATAGAATTGTATAAAGGTATTACAGTTACTAAACAATAATTTACACTCTTGAGACTGTTCAGGCATGGAACAGGCTCTCTCCTGTCTGTTTACCCATGTATTTTATATGTCTTAACTAAATCAGATTTCCCAATGCAGTATCTCGCTTTTGGGAATCCAATGTGAATTTGTTATGCTCCCTGAAGAGTGCCACATAACCAAATCAGTGACTTACAATGATGCATAACTGTTGTTGTACAATACTCTGTTGGTGACAAAGAATACCTTTGTTCAGGATGTTTAAAGGCACTTTCAGTATAGGTACTTAACCCCATCTGCCCAGTACTTGAAGCTCAGACTTCAAGAAGCAGTTTTGGCATAAGCAGATTATGAAATTATATATAAAGTGAACAATTGTCATTAAAACATTTGGGCTAGAGACAGACATTCAAAAAGCCTGAGCCTGAATTGATTCAATCTTTGCAGGTTAGTCTAACCTGGCTAGGTTGAATCACTTTGTAACTGCACAGACATCACAGAAATGCAGGCATATGCCTGCAGTGGCTCAGCCTAGAAGCCAGGGGGAGCTAGAGCAGCCCTCCCTTCCCTTCCACAGGGTTGAGCTGAGGGAGGTGTGGCTGGGCCCCTGCAGGATTCGGGAGGGGTCTCCCCGTCCTTGATAACAGAGCATTTATCAGCTCTGTTATCAGCATTTGTTACCCCATCAGAAAAACTCTAATTAGTTCAAATTCTTCTTAAACAAAGAAGGAATGGAGGGATATTACCCTCCAAAAAGCCCTAAGCCGACACCTGTCTGCCACAGCACCAACTGTAGCCAGCACGTGGTCTGCTAGCGAATGCAGAGGTGTCTGTGTGAGGCAGAGTGGATGAGGGATCCCTGCTTAGCGGGGAGGGGGAAAGCAGGAGGAAACAAGGCAGACGCTGTGCCTGCAAGTCTCTGCCAGAAATGCAGCCAGGGAACGGAGGGGAGGGGCCAGCTCTGCTGTGAAGCAGAGAGCCCCACCCAGCCCAGAGAGCTTGCTGGGATACTGGGGGAGTCTGGTTTATCTTAAACCAGCAAGGGGTTTGGGACAGACGTTGCATAAACCAGTTTGACCCAAATCAGTTAAGTCTGATACTACAGTCAACCAGGTTTATCTCAAACTTGTTTCAGCCATTTTCAAACCAGTTTATGTGCACTGAACAGCTGTTCTGTTACAGGTTAAACCAGTTTCTGATCACTTAAACCAGTTTGTGTGATGCCTGTCCCTAGCCTTTCAGGCTGAGAAAAAGCATATAATACTTCTTTAAATATGTCAGAATGAAATCTTTGAGAACTCAGTAATATGGGAATTGCTTATAAAAGGTGTGTTACAGTACAGATGGATCTTGGGATTCATATTATGTGATTGTAATAACCATTCTTATATTGGGGGAAAATAGGGGGTATTTTATATTAGTGAGGAATTGGCTTCAATGTATTTTATGTTTAGACGATTTCATCTTGGATAATGCTATTTGCAGGCACTTGGAAGGTCTATGTTTATGGCAGTCTTAAATATGGGCTAGAATGAGACAGAGAGGAGACCCATTCATCTTTCTACATGATCTCAAATACTTGGAACCTGCAGTTATCATGTAAAAAATCCTATATATGGCTCTCTTTTAGTGACCTGATTCTCTGGTGTGTGTGTGTGTCTCTGTCTCTACAGATAGATAGAGATATCTATCTATATCTATCTAGACACATATATCTAGATAGATAGATAGAGATATCTATCTAGATATATGTGTCTAGATAGATAGATAGAGATATTTAGCTATATAGATATCGATATATATAGAGAGAGTATACCATGCAGTGTATACATGTGCCGTATAACAGCCTATTCCTACTTATGCTTAGGAGGGAAAGGGATGGAAAATTTGTCATTCTCTTTTAGTACTATTTTTATGCTCTATTTACAGGTGTGCAGATGCCTACAAAAGGGTACAAGGAAACAAAGAATTAGACTCCAGGTATAACGTACCGGTTGCTATGTTCAGAATCTTATTTGGGCGGTTAAGTTCTGCCTGCCAAAACTTCCTTTGTGGTTTCAGCTGGATAGAAGACATGAGGAATTTCCTATATCCATCTCGGGCTTATTTGTCTATTGTGTTGGTGTGTACTATGTGACACTTTAAAACAGATTGGGTAAATGTGTTATCTTTTATTAGACCAACTAAATAGTTGGTGGGGGACCCCAACAACCCTCTGGACAAGAAGGCACTCTGAATTTTTTATTATTATTTCTCTCTTATATACAGCTGGTAAAATAAAAATAGACTTCACAGATCTGATTGCAAAGTTTATCATCTTCACTTTTGTATACAAGCAAGGCTGAACAGACAAGAAATTAGCTTCAAACCATTCCAGGCTGTGGTACTCTGTGTTGCCACCAGATAGAGCTCATGCAGATAACCAAGTTGAAGTAGCTCACATCTTACAAGAAATTGTGGTTAGAATTTGTGCCTTGCTGTAGTTCCTACAAGAAAAATAACTTTGAACATACAACAGCTGGCAAAGGGCTATTTTCCCTTTGCTATTTGCATTGGCAGAAGGTCTAAAGATAGTGAATGAGTGTCATCATACTGTAGTTCTCCTTTTCTGATTTATTG